TTACCTATTCTGAAAGAAAAAAACAGACAAACGCACTGAGTAGCGCTTCAAATAAGGCTCCAGTTGTGCAAACAAGTGATAAAAATGTGGTTATTGAGCAACACTCGAGAGAAAGCAGCGAGAGAGTATGCAAACGATAGGCCACTAAGTGTAGGACCGGAATTTTTCGAAAAATTACAGTAGCAGCTTCGTTGCAGGACCAGCTACCGTACTCTCGGCATGCTATTTTCCAGAATTTTCAACTGGCCTAATTTCGCGTGCGCCTTCTTCTGAATTTAGGGTGGTTGATATACGTTTCTTGGATAGTGAAGAGAAGTTTATCAACTTGAACAAAATCTTTTGTAGGTTTCAGTGCCGGATATATATGCGAAGGCAGTTTTCCACGAGACCAGCTAAGGAAGTGTTATGTGGACATTAGAAGTTTAAGCTTATAACGATATGCGGAGTTTTAGAATGAATCGCATCCATGAAATAGCCAACAGGATACCATTCTAAAAACTTCGATCATTTTTGATTGCTTCATTCAGTGACCTTAGGCTAGAATACGTACTCGGTCGCTAAGGCGTTGAGCTGTTTATGTCCTGTTGCTTAGTATGGATCTAGATTAACCCCTGAAAAAATCAAATGGAAATGGGCGGGTAAATAACTTTGGCATATTGAACTGTTCCTACACAATCTCCCGAAATCACACCGGTCTTTAGCGACCTTTTGTGCAAGGTCAGATTGAAGACAATCTGCTTTCAGAGGTACTTCGACCTCCTAAACACGAATATCACATACGCTCCGCCCGAAACCGCCTGGCTATTACCGAGTTTTTATCACTTTCGGGAAGAAAAGGTTTGAAACAAACAAAACAACGTGTATAGCGCTAAATGGCGCCAGCGCCAGGAATGAATGTCATATTCGTGATCAGTACATCGGATAACATCTGTGGACAATGTATCCACGAACAAAAAAATTTTGAGGTGTTGTGGTAGGAGTAGTTCAACAGCGCCTTACCGTTTGTATCACGAGAAATCAAAGCAGGAACCGCAAAACATTAACACATATCATATCTTGCTATTTCCCTCATCCCGTGCTTGAAAATACCAATTTTCCTTCCCTCAAGTTGATGTAAATCCTTCCAAAAGTTTCTATCCATGTAGCAAGTAGGAACGAAAAGGTAATGCTAGGCATATCCATACTGAACCCCACTAAAAGGCAGAAAGACTGTCCAGAATCGTATCATAGTCGTTTTTTTAACGAATGCATATCGCCCGTTCAACCA